TGTGTGTGTGTGTGTGTGTGTGTGTGTGTGTGTGTGTGTGTGTGTGTGTCAATTGGGCTATTAACTATGTTTTACTATTTTGCAAAGAAGCACGAAGTAGCATTACCAGATAAGGAAAACTCAACATCCATGTGCTTGTCTCTACCCCCTCTTCCTCCCCTCAACACTCCCTCGGGATAGTTTAGTAAGCCCGCCTCCACAGCTGGAGGATGCATCCGGTGTGTGTGTGTGTGTGTGTGTGTGTGTGTGTGTTATTCTTTGAAGTCAGAGACCCCTGAAGAAGAACTGTTCACACTCACATATGCCGCTCTTGTGAAACTTTGCCTTGCCAGAACTTGCCATGTAAATAGCTAGCTGTTAACGCCTAGCTACAACCTGCTCTTAGGAAACAGTAATCTTCTGTTAGGAATCCTATAATCACATCTGGAAGGATAGTAGACAGATATCATGACAACACTGTGGATCCTGTGATTAAATATTATATATGATAGTAGCCATAAGAGGCAGAAAGTGGAACACGGTGAGTAAAGTTCAATGTTCAGTAATGTTTCATGCAGTGGCACATTATTCATATCGTACTATGTTAAGTAAAAAAGTACAAAAAGTTGATTGCAAATGCTTTGGCAAGTGCACTTACCTTGTTTACGTTGATGTGACATAAGTATACATTTGAACATATGAATGAAACCAGGCTTCATAATACGTTTTTTTAAAGGCATATCTCAGGCCACCCACTGAACAATTTAGGTCCAACTGATATAAAACTGAAGTCAACGCTCTCATCTGCTCTCACACCTGCATGTCATTGACTTTGCCACGAGCTGAACTACATGCAGTTGTGTTTGAAATTGATTGTTTCCAAGCTTTGACATTCAAAATGGATATCTGCCGGCTAAACTGCTGTTCTGCATCTCTGAAGAGTGACTCAGTGCAGGACGTTAGAACCGAGAGTCAAATCTGTATGTAAGTGATACAACTCACTGTTGTGACTCTTCGTAATTTGCTCGGTCAAAGTCCTATCACGTCAACTGGTCTCTTTGAAACTAATTCCACACATCTAATCTAAAATAATTTGGCAGACTATACACCTCATTTTGAAAGCCACCAACATACTTTATTTATAGTTGTCTCTGTTTATTGAGGCATTGATACATCTTGCCTCAACACATCTGCTTTCTAAGGTCTAAGGTCGATATTCAGTCAAATCGTCAAGTCTAGTTCAAGTCTTTTATCGTTTATCCTGCTGCAATAGTGTTTATCTACGTCTACACATTTGTGTAACTATAACATATATCATATCCCTTCTGGTCACAATGAATAACTGCAACTTTATTTAGATAAATATCTGTAGTTGCGTGCTGTGACCACTAGAGGGTAGAATTGTGCGTGATTTGAAATATCAGAAAGCAATTTTGTCGACCTGCTGTGATTGTGTTTCCTTTCTTTCTACTTAATCTTTAATGTAAACCAGTACGGTGAGTGTTTCTGACTTCTAGTGGTCACAGTGAGTAACTGCACTCAGTATGGTGGTAGATGGTAAGGGAGAACAGGAGTAGAGTAGTTATATATATTTAGTAGTATGCACTGAGGCTGAGATTCCTCACCGTAACCACTGAGTGCAGAAACACTCATGATTCTAAATAGACAGGTTGTCTCAGTCTGAGGCTGGCTACTTGTGCTGTAATGTGTGTACTGTAAAAGGTAATTAAGTGCACAACACAACTGTCCTTTACGTTTACTGTCTAATTTGCTGTAAGGTTTGTTTAACCTGTTTTGTTTCTAGTTTATTTAACTGATTCAGTTAGGATAATGTTTGACATTACTAGAAGAATGCAGTTGCTGTTTCTCACTGTAACCACTAGAGGGCAGAAATACTCATGATTCTAAATACACACAGGTTGTCTGGCTCAGGAACTTGCTTCTTCTACTGTAATGATTGTCCTGCTAGAAGGTAGTTAGTGTATAACCACAGCTATCATTGTAAGTTCATGTCTAATGCAGAGAGAAAAGAAATGTAAAACGTGTTAAACCGGTTGTGTATCTTATTTATTTGACCTTGATTCAGTTCACATAATTTCAACACTCTTGCATTTAAAATGCATGAGTATTTCTTCCCTCTGGTGGCCATAATGCGTAATTGCATCTATTGTAATCGTTTTATTTTTAAAGTATTATTCGGAAGTACTATTATGTTGTGTTGCGTTTAACTTTACTAGTAGAGTGCAGTGGCACTGTAATGCCACTAGAGGGCAGAAATACTCACGATTCTAAATACACACAGCTTGTCCGGCTCAGAGACTAGCTACTTGTTCTGTGACGCTTTTACTGCTTTCAGGTAAATAAGTGCACAACTGTACATTAAAGTTACTATAGGCGAGACTTATGTTGTGCCTATACTTTATAATAGTGATACAATAATAACACCGGGCTCTGTAGTCTGCACCAAGATGAACATTATTCCTTTTTCACAGATGTCCGTAGAAACTTTTTTATCGTTCCCTCTTTCCGTTTAGCCTTCACAATAAAAGCCCCAGACACATACACCGGAACTCTGCTTCTTAGAGAGCTCTTATGGTAAATCAGAGCATCTCACTTAGCAACTCAACACAATAGCTTACATTACTTTCTAATAGAGAGAGAAAAATGCTAGACCTGTTGCGTTTGTCTTTTATATGATCTCAATTCAGTTCTGACAATGTCAACACATGTATTTAAAATGCACATGTATTCTACTCCGGTCCACTAGGCGGCGGTAGTGTTCTCTAAAGCTGCCGCTAACCGCCAATATTTAATACATGAAGCGACATTTAAAAGGAGGAAGCGGATCATGAGGCACCAGTCATTCGTTTGTCCGCCTCGACTGTAACGTCTCTGGTGGTACTGGTAAGTAGATATTATGCGTTTCACTGATGTGAATTTTTTTTTAAATCATCCAATATTTGGATTAGTATTGCAGTTCTACAGCTAACGTTGCCACTGATGACCGCTGGTTTATTCCACAGCTAATTCACGTTACGTTAAACTTTCATTCGTTTTGATTAACTGTTCATAAGCTGTTGGCTGTAAAACATTGCGGGAATCGTTGGTGATATTAGAGTGGTTTCTTAAAGTAAAAGTCTGTTTTATATCCACCTGTTTTGGTGGATATATTGTATGTCAAATTTTTACCCGATGACACGTGGCTCTGACCTGAAGCTATGTCCTCATAGGACACGTGTTGTCTGCTGCTAAAACATGGCATATCTAACTGACACGGTTCTAAATTGTGTTTTGATTGTTGACCGTTACTGCCTTTTGCTCTCTTATACAAACTACCGAAAGCAGCCGTTAACCCCGTGGGCCTAACTCCACGTGGTAAACCTAAATTACCAGGCTATGTTAGCATGGTAGCTAACGGTATCATGAGCTACAGCTCAGTAGAGTTATCGCAGCATAAGTAGCTGCACAACATGTGTATTACATTTCGTTGGCATACGATATAGTGCAACGTTAGTAGTACTCCCTCTCCCCTGATGACTTGCACTGGGCTCTGAGTCTTTATGAAGAGAAACGTGCGTCTCTGGCCCTGACAAGCCAGAGTTTCTGAGGAGACGATGGATGAATGTTGGTTAAATGTTACAGTGATAGAAATACTGTAACACTTGCTTTTGCCCTTTTCAGGTCACCTTCAACAAGTGGATCCACTCCTAGACAAAGCTTCGATTGGGTCCAGAGAGGTTTGTAATATGTATGTGTACTCTATAATTAAGAATACTTTGATGGCAACCAACAGCTCTACCAAATATTTTGGTGAAGGCCTCTTCTAAATGAGTTTAAATAATGGACTGTCCAGCTGTGACCACTGGATATCAATGAGTACATTATCTACTTCTCTCGTACTCGTAAGTCAAATGACACAACTTATAGCACAAGCACATCTGTTGAGGACCATTTCATTTAAAAATGAGTACTCTGAAAGCAGACTTGGCCCGTGTTCAGGGTGGTCTGATTGTTTGTCAAGGCAAAGCATGGCTGCATTTTTGCCGTTTTTGTTGAAAGTTAATACTGTAAAGTAGTCTGCTTGGGGCACACATCACTGACAATAGTAAAGAAAAAACAGTATTGTATACTAAATGTGAAGTTTGATACCTAGAACCTATGATTTAATTGTACGTAGCGGCTACTGCAACCCGGTGCTTTTATGTACATTGATTCCTGCTGTAGTGGGTTTAGCTGTCGTTCCCCTGATGACTTGCACTGGGCTCTGAGTCTTTATGAAGAGAAACGTGCATCTCTGGCCCTGACAAGCCAGAGTTTCTGAGGAGAAAATAAACCACAGAAGGTTAAAAAGTGTATACTGTGACAACACGCTAACTGTTGCTTTTTCTTCTTCAGGTATTTACAGTGACGCCGCTCAGTATAGACCGGACTTGAATCAGGTTTGTGTTAACGCTGCATCTCTTGCCTTTAATAGCAGACACTGTGACGTTGGATCTCTTGTGATGTATAGCACTGGGCTCAGAATATCAGTGTTGACAGAAGTGCAGCTCTGCCCCTGACAAGGCAGACTCTGAGGAGACCATTGCAACACATGCATTTTTTTAATTCTTGTTGGATTATGATCTAACCCCCACCCCTTTCTGTTTCAGGTGCTGGTCTTCCTGCAGACATCATCTGCCTTCTACCCGTGATGTCATTTTGTTGTATTTCTGTTAAAATCAGAACTTTTTATAATGCTTAATATTGTATTTGTGTATTTGCTGTGATTAATGAAATAAAACCGTCTATTAAATTAGTTTCTTCACTTTCCTACAAACACTTAACCAGAGTACGGGACTGTTAATTATTTAAATGATGTTTTGGGGTTGTCACGGTGACATGAATGTTTGATTATCCTGTAGACTGACTCTCAGCATTATGAGCAAGTGTAAATTAAATGATATAATATAAACTCATGAACACAAGATGTTTAACGTTAGTCTCTTTAATGTGTTTGCATTGATAAAATACTTATTGGCTACCTGCAAAAAACTTGTGTAAGTATAACTTAACACAGGTGTGAGAGGGGCCTTTGAAATATTTTGCAAATTATTGAATACTTTTAAAATGCAATATACTGTACATCAAATGGTTACATTTTAAACTATGGTCTCTTAAATCTAAATATGGAAGCGGTCATAGTGCTATGAAATTCGACATATACATAGAAATGTAACTTCGAGAGGTTTAAAATATGGAGTATTTGGTATTGTGCACATTGTTGCAAGCTTTAAAACATTGGGTTAAACCTGGAAAGTGCTGACTGCATAAGCTATGGAACAGTTTTTAAATACAAATAAAAGTTACTGTGGAGGATCCAATGTACTGTATGATCTGTCCGACGAGCAAAACAGACGCTGGAAACCGACACTTTCAGCCCTGGGGTCGCTTAATGTCCAATGGTGTATGTGTATTTATATATACTTTATTAATACACGAGTATAACATCCCAAAATTCACATAACCTGAGGACTATTGGCTGGGACCTATAAAGTGAATCCACAGGGTAAATATCCGTGTCCGGATGGAAAAGAAACTACAAAAACACAAAATGATAACTTTGTTTCTGTATCTTTATTATAATTCTAACAATGTATTATCTCTTAAAACATTTGAAATTCATATACGTCTATATGAATGTGTATATGCATATCACATATACATATATTCTGTACGCTTTCATCAGTTCATATTCTCATATTTTTAAAAGATCTCTTAAAGGAAAAGAAATGATTTCTATAGAGTCTGACCGATTCCCTCCTGACGGCAACAATGAGACACCTTATCGTGATAACTTCTAACTGCAAAGAAATGACTAAACCAATTGTTTGTCACCAGTGACTTAAGAACAGAATTGTATCCGTCAGATATTTTCACATTGCCTTCCCGTAAACAAGCAGAATCTGGCTGTGCAACGAGGAAGGAAAGCCACATTCTGCTCATTCACCTTTCAGAAACATGCCCTTTGGCTGAAAATTATTTCAAAACCTTTAAAGGGAAATGTGAAAAAGCCACAGTTGCTAATGGAAATAGGGCCATTGCATAATACGTGGTAATAAACAATGAGCTGTAAGCAGACAGGGACACGCCAGCGACTGCAGAAGGTGCTTTGTACAAACAAGATGAAAACGTAATGCTGTCGTTAACAATGGAGGGGAGAAGATGTAGAGAACAGGTCGGGCTGTATAGAAAGCAGAACAGTTAAATAAATACATTGTACCTTTTCATGTTAAACATTTGGAAGACAGAGATTCTTTAGAACTTTTGAGACTTTTTTTTTTTTACATCTTAAACCATAATTAGTTGACCAATGTTTTCATCGTCCTTATTGCTATTTCCTTTGCATTGAAATATCTCTTCTGGAGTCTTGCAGTTGCGTAAAACAAATCCATCTTAATCACTTTTGCTCATTCGCGTGCCCGTGTGTATGTGCACACGCTCTATGAAAACTCCATTTATCTTTTTGCAAAAGCAGACTGAGGGATATCAGGGCCGGGTGCAGAATAAACTCCCCATCTGTGCCCCCCGATGGGAAACGCACGTTTGATATGTGTTCGAGGACTGAAAAGCAGCAGGAGAGGTGACGTGTTGTTCAAGGTAGAGAGGTCATGAGAGAGCCCTTATATTTGATCTCAGCAACAGTGAGAATAGCAGGACGGAGTTTATAATGAGATGTGAATGTGCAGCGGAAGCATGATGGGGAAAATAAAGGGACTTCACTGCATTTGGAAATTACATTAGTGTATGTGATCAATCAAAAGAGGGTGGCAGTTATCCAGAATACAGAAATCAATTTAAAGTCCTGCTTAAATACATGAATACATCATTTTCACTTAACGTGTATCGTGGGCCTCCCCAGAGTAACAGTTGCTACACGTTCAGTATCTGCATATTGTTAAGTGACAACTAACCTTTAAGTGAGGAAATCATATTTTGAGGCCATAAATGCCAACGTGTCATTTTGATTATGGCTTCACAGTCTGACAAAAGCAAAACAGTAAGAAGAGTGTTTCTGAAATGTGCTTCATATTAAGTTGCAATGCTTGTTGTCACATAGAGGCAATGTTAAGGGTACTGTGCACGGAATAATATGCATCTTTCAGTTCAAAAATACCTATATATACACACACACATATATTTATATATAACCAGCACAGTTATCTCCATCCAACAGTCAGAAAATACACTGACTGCACAAGAGCGACACATCAGTAACCAAAGGCAGAAAGCAGGAACTCTGAAGCTATAATAACAGTAAGGACGATGAAAGTCATGATAAATAGTAACAATAAATCTCTTCATATCAATATTAGTATTCCAGTTTTCCCATTTAAAGTTTAAAAATTGTAAGAACAATCATAGTATTAAAACTAGATATAAGCATTTCTCTCAGATCCCCTCGGCCGGGTGGCTGCTTGTTTCCTCCTGGATTTTGTCGAGAGAGAGAGAGAGAGAGAGAGAGAGAGAGAGAGAGAGAGAGAGAGAGAGAGAGAGAGAGAGAGAGAGAGAGAGAGAGAGAGAGAGAGAGAGAGAGAGGGGGGCCACTCCTGTAAGGAGCAGGGGCGATTGGGTGGGAAAGAGAAAGAAAATGGCAGTTTTTCCTCTTCCCCTCCCCTCTCCTTTCCAGTCTCCCTCGGACGGAAGGTCTGAATGGTTGTACAAGTTGTCTCGACGCTGAGGAAGTCTTTCGCCGTAAATCAAATCCTCGGGGAGATTTCTCTTCACATTGTCACGTATGCCAACGTCTAACAGTTGAAAGCACAGTCTGTCTCCTTTTGTATAAGTATATCTTGGATCCAAACATATAGTGTGTCTATATACGTGTCCCATAAACTCTTAACACAATCACTTGAAAGTGCTTGTGTGTGTCTACTGTTGGTGTATGCATGCAGGCATGTATAGTAGTAACTCGGGTGCCTGTGTGATTCTTTTTTATTTTTTTTTTATTCTGTTGGTCTGGGCACTTATTTTTGCTACAAATTTGTGATACAGTGACCAGTCTGTGTATATAT